TGAAGGCCCACAACGTCCCAACAATCTTCTGGCCGGATTTGGCCTCATGCCACTACTCCAAGGACGTGCTGAAGTGGTATGCGGACAATAAGGTCAATTTCGTGCCGAAAATGTTCAACCCTCCCAACACTCCGGAGCTCCGCCCCATCGAGAAGTACTGGGCGATTATGAAGCAGCACCTTCTTAAACGACCTAAGGTAGTGAAGACAGTCGAGGAACTGAAGAAAGTATGGGTTTACATGCAAAAAACGGTTGATTCACAGGTTGTGCAGAATCTTATGGCCGAGGTTAAGGCCAAGGTGCGGGCATTTGCGTATGGACTGTAAATAAAATACGAGTAAAATGGTAAAATGAAGTTTAATAGTTATTTCTCAATCCCTGAAAATTTGATGGCAATCGGATGAAAACTCGAATTTTGCGAATCAATTTTGTGTGTGGCAATTTCATCGTGGACACCCTTTAAAGAGAGCCTGAATTTATAAAGAGATGACATCTTATCCATTTGACAGGTCTTTTGCTCGATTGGAATGACTTTGACAGACAATCGATTGTTCTAATTTTGACATGTCGCCTCTTTATAAATTTAGGCTCTTTTGAGCAGGGCTGTCATCTGATCACTCAATGCGCGCAATGTACTGATTTTCTGAAATAAACAAAGTGAGAATCAAGCAGACACAAAGTTTGCTTGTCTTTCACCACAAACGAAGTGACGAAAACTTTGGTGACTAACCTGCTATTTCAATTTTTCAGTGTACCACATGGCAACACCACTACTACTGGATTGTACCACATGGCAACACTACTACTGGATTGTACTAGCGTTTTCACCAAATGTATTAGACTGTTTTGGTTCTATCACTTTCACACTACTCAAAACTGAAATGCATAAAAAATTACAAAATGATACACTCTTTTCACACTGTCAAAGAATCATTGCACACAAAATCAACTTTGTTCAAATCAAAACAAAAAAACTAACCCATCTGGTGGATGATGGCACAAGCTTCCAAGAAAATTCTATTACAGTGAACCACATTATTTTAATGGATTTCTTCGCCAGTTAGTTGTCTGTCACTTCGTTTGTGCTTCCAGGGTGTCCATTCAAATTTATTTTTTCAATTCCCGGTTTTTTTTCCCGATTATTACAAAAAAACTCTACCTTAAACAAAAAAGGCGTTCAAAAATAACCCTTTAGAGATAATTATGAACTTTTGTCAGCAGAATTCCTCTACAATATGCAGGGCTCTTAGTGGGTATTTTATACAATAGTATTGACTACAATAACGAAAAAATGACCAAATAGTGACTCTAAAACAATAAAAAAGTGACGAATAGTGACATTTGTTGCTCGGAAAGATATTAAAGATATGGATCTAATCTTTCGTTGAATTCGATCCGCTTTAACAAACCACCATGAGCATTTTACAAGCTTTTTTTTTTAAATAAAACAAATGGTTGAAGCATCTTATAAATTTGTTTTCGTAAAATCAGTATAAATTGGATAATCAATAGGTTAATTTGTAACCTCAATTTCTTCAAACAGTACTCATTTTTCTGCCACGATTTTTTGGAAACCAACCGTTGAATAAGTTAAATTTAGATTCAGATCGCGAATTGGTTGAATTTCGGGATGTGAGAGCTTAAAAAAAGAAATTTATTGGAAATCTTGAAATTGAAAAAAATTGAGGCGCAGAGAAAAATGTTCAACGTCTTGGACAAATTCGTCAATTTTAAGACAATCAATTTGAAACATAGACAAATTTTCATATCTCTGGAACCTAGACAAGTGTTCTGGATCGTATCATTTTTTTTTCCTTTATTAACGAGACTTTCAGCCTAAGGCTGGTTCATCTCTACTGGATCGTATCAATAATTATCATTATTCTGGAACGAGGAAAATTTTCTCGAAAAATCTCGAAAAGTTTTAAGATTCTGGTCTACATTTTAGAGATATAGGACATTTTTTTGTTTAATGCTGGTACTTAGTAATTCGCGATCTTTAATTAAAACAAATTAAGAAAGCGTAGAATAATTTACGATATGTTAGAATGTAAGTTTACAGTCCGAGAATATTTTAATGTTTCTAAAATATAGAAAAGATTTCATCATTTTAAACATAGAATTTATCTCGGAATTTATCTAAAATCTGGGATTGGAAATTTGTTGATTCCGGACTTGTAGAAAATACCTCTGAAAAAAAGAAGATCCTACTACATGATTTTTCGATGTTTGCAGATACTAAAGCTTCCGGCCTTCAAAGATTTATCGAAATTCAGGCCTTTAAAAAAAATCTCTAGCGCTTGGAAAGTTTCCTAGACCGTTTTTCAACATCTTAGGCTTGGAAAACTTTCAAGATGACGAAGAGATATCGGAACCAGAGTTTATTTTTTTCGAAACCTTTTTTCGGTTTTTTCCAGTGGTCTAACCCACTTTTCCCAGTTCAATTGAAACAATTAAATATGGTAAAATACCCCAAGTACCATCACCAGTTTTATCGCATGATAAAACCCAAATCCTTACTTGAAGCATAGATTATTATTTCGCTTAACTGTTGACCCTAAAGAATACAGTATGTAATATGTAGTAAGGTCAAAATATGTTATTCTCAATTGAAGATTGGAATTGAGAAGAGAAATGCAAGGAAATTTCAATGATGATTTTTGAAATAATCTTAATAGAATCTTAACAGGATTCCAAGAGGATGATTTGAGAATGCTTAACAAAATTTCAAGGAAAGTATTTTTTATTTATAGAAATTTTCACACTCTCGGATCATTCGTGCTTGATCCGGGTGGAATTTGAACTCATGATTTTGGAGTGAGAGGTATGGATTCAGATCTTTATGTTTTACAGACTTACCCGCATAAGCGCGAACCATAAATTGACCTTACCTAAAATGGTTATAAATTGTTTATAATCCCTGCTAAACTTCAACTGAAATGGTTATGGAACTTTACATGAACGTTTAATGATAAAGTTTTAACCTTAAGTATTATAGTTTTTTGGAAGTGGACCTTACAAATAATGGGTTGTTAAGAACCATTACCATTCAAAATTCTTGTTTTCTCCATACATTTTCGGAAAGAAAACTATACTAAAACCTTTTAACTTATGGTTTGAGAACATTAATGGTAATGGTTATGGTAACCAGTAAGGTCCATGAATGGTTTTGTAACATCGATCAACTTTATGTGGAATATATCGCGAATTGGTTGCCGGTAAATTACTGATTACCAATTCACGATATATTTCACGTAAAGTTGAGCGATAATACAAAACCATTAATGGACCTTACTGACTACCATAACCATAACCATTAATGTTCTTAAACCATAAGTAAAAACGTTCTAATATAGTTCTCTTTCCGATAATGTATGGAGAAAACAAGAATTTGGAATGGTAATGGTTCTTAACAACCCATTATTTGTAAGGTCCGCTTCCAAAAAACCATAATACATAAGGTTAAAACTTTATCACACAAACGTTCATGTAAAGTTCCATAACCATTTCAGTTGAAGTTTAGCAGGGATTATAAACAATTTATAACCATTATCGGTAAGGTCATGTGATGGTTCGCGTTTATGCGGGTACCTCGGTATTCAAAGATGTCCTAATCTTGGTATCTGGTTAGCACAAAGTGCAGAAATTGATGTTTAATTTATCTCTATGTCCGGTGTCGAACATTTGCATGCTAACTATGATCGGAGTTTGCAAGGAGTTTGAGACGGCATGAATCCATAGAGGTAACTCTAAGACCACTGGGTCCCGAAGAAAATCATTATTATTTTTGGCTCACTCAGTACCAGAACAACGGTCCCAAGCAGTCCCAAGCTATTTCACTCACCCCTGCATGTTCTGCATGAATCCACACACCCCTGATGTTATCTGTCAAACTTTCATAGCGAATCAAAACAAACATAGTGTAGTAATAGAATTTCAACTAGAATAGGGTACGTTAATCGTTTGCTTGGGACCAATAGGCCACTAAAGTGGTGAGCCAATTTAAAACAGACATACATTTTTAGTAACTTGACAATGCTTTCCTTGTTATTTTCGTTTGCAACTGTACTTTTTTACAACACATCATTGGGACTATTTCTAGTCTGCTGATGCAAACATATCAAATGAACAGTAGTAACAACAATCAATACGAAACTAATGATTTTAAATTGGCTCACTACTTGACTAGCCTATTGGTCCCAAACAAACGATTAACGTATCCCATTCTAGTCGAAATTCTAGTACTACGTAATGTTTGTTTTGATTCGCTATGAAAGTTTGACAGATAACATGAGGGGTTCGTGGATTTTTTTTTCTATATTTCGAGGGGTGCTTCGATTAGCTTGGGACCGAAGAGAGTACCAGAGCTGAGCCAAAAAGTTGAGCACGTTATTTCGGGACCTTCTAGTCTTAGAGTTACCTCTATGGTAGTAACTTCCGCCCACTACAAAGAGTGTTCGGCGATGTTACCCGTTTTATCCATAACTGTCCTGCAAAGCGGACCGAATCAGAACGCCGTCGTGGAAGATTGAGCATTGCAGACTTTCGTGACTCACTGTACGCTATGCTGATGATCGTACAACATTAAGTGTATCGCTATGGAATTAGAAACGATTACACTGTCCTGAATACAATTTCACACAAAATGAAGATTTTAGAGTATAGGCATCATTGATTCTAATTTGAGTTAAATATTTTGAACGAGGAGTCGGAATCGGTAAAATTTCACCGACTCCGACTCCACAGCCCTGATTGACAATTAGTATTGGCCAATCAATACAAACAGTCCCGATGGTAATTTTTCACACTTTTCCAAAATGAACAAATCGTAATCATCTAAGCCAACCAATCAGCGACTGGATTGCAAAAAGTTATCCAAATCTATACCCAGTGGCCTCGTCTTGTCTTATACTTGATCTGCAGCTCTCAAATAAAGGGATTTCGAAGAACAGATCCTCAACAAGCGGCTGAATATTAGTTTTCTAGTTTTTAGTTTTCTTCAGGGAAATGCAATCATAGCCCTAACCCTTAAAATTATTACACTTGTCAGAAAAAGGCATTTAAATCTAGGCTCTATGTACAAACTTAGCAAAATGAGAATATCCCAGTTTCAACTTTAACTGCTTAAAGGGCGAATAAAAACTAACAACGGTCGAAATAAATTATCATCCTTCATCATTATCATCATCATCATCATCCGAAATCATCAATTCGTCACAGTTCCACTGCCGAGCGATCGCATCAACTGGTAGCACTCCTGCAGTCGCTTCTTGTCGCCAATTTTCTCCAGCGTTTTGGCCGCCTCCTGAAGCATACTGGTCCGTTCGCCCGGTGACGACAGACACGGTGCCGGAAGGTGTTTGCACGCCACATACAAGGCAGCGGCCCGTTCCCGACCACCAACAAGCTGGGAGCTTCGATCTTTACCGCTGCAAATGATCGACGCCCGGGAGTAGCGCTGCCGCAGGCTGTGGCCCAACAGTTGCTGGGTGGGCCCGGGAGCGGCACCGGCCATCAGACGGCACACGGCTTCGTACAGAAATACTCGCGATTGGGCGTTCTGTAAGATGGAAGATGGTTGTGAAAACAAACGTTTTTTCTACGGGGGAAATACTGCTGTCACGACTTACGGGGATCTCGTTGGTGACGATCCGCAAGGAATTTAGGTCCTTCTGGAACTTGGCCAGCACCACACCGGAAACGGGGACGTACTCTCCGTTCTGGCTCTGGAACTTTTCGTTATCTGCTTCCCAGAGGGCTGTGCGGGCTTCCAGCAGCCAGTCGCATGCCAGGAGCTGGGCGAGCTAAAAGGTACAGAGAGATACAGGAAAGTCCACCAGCATATCCACTTAGATGTGAAGGAAATATCAACACTTGTTAAACGACGACTAGGCTCCCAGATCCACCTGGTTTGCATTGCAGAAGTACTGCACCGAGTTATCGAACGCAAAAGTGCAATGCAACTACAATGCACCCAAGTGGAGAGCAACGATTTCTCTTCTTGCATCTAAAAAAAAACATTTGCAGATCAACTGGAAATCGAACGTCGACACTCACCATTTTCAGCTTCATCGGTCTCTTGCAGATGTTAGTAGTTAGACTGTCCTCCAAACACTGGCTTCCGGCGTTGCAGTTTTGGAACACGATTACCGAGTTGTAGTGTGGTTTGTTTCTGTTGAAGAATGACTTAAAATTAGCTGAATTCGACCACCATAACCCATGTAACTTACAGCAACGCTCGCTTCGCCTGGAACGCTGCAAACAGTGCCTTCGGTAAGGTATCCTCTCCCTTGGCCAGCTCCGGCGGTAGATTTTCAATGTGCAGGTAAAGACGCTCGGCTTCGGCGTCCTCGCCGAGCAACCAGTGGGCGGCAATGCTCAGCAAACTGGACCACCAGTGGGCCAACCGATCCTGGCAGCAGTTCCCGCTGATCAGGCATCGATCGAACGTAACCGGTTGATTCTCCACGCTCAAAATGTCCTTGAGCAGCTGGGTGAAGTGCAGCACGTTGCTGATCTGGCAGCCCGAGTACGGATAGGACGCCGACGGTGCCGACGGTTTCCCATTGTCCGATTGGTCGTCCTTGATGATGGAATCCTTGGAGGACGCTTCACCGTTCGGTTCGGCGGTTGCCTGCAGTTGTGATTGCTGAGCGAAGGCCGCTTCGGCGTGCTTCCGGCTGATCTGACCCGAACCGACCAGACATTGGATCGACTTTTGCAGCAAGTTTTCGCGGTAGTCCTGGAAGGGTGTCGAAAAATAGGCTCTTAGTGATTAGTCTTTTTATCCGAACTGCTGGTGGAAGCATTTAACGATTTAACTGCCCCATGGCTTTGATCTATGGGACTTCTATAGAATTTGGAACAGTAACATGCGTCCAAGGCAGCGAATTGGTGATGTTCCAATCAGAGGCACCAATTTCAAGTGCCTACAGAATTCTTGAAGATAGGCAGCACAAGGCCTCCTCTATAAGTACTCTGAAAATCACAGGCACAATTTCCAAAAACCCACTGCCTCCGGAAGACTTAAAATTTCTTGAAATGTTTGAGTGGGAATTTCCCAGTAGGAAAAAAACAATTCGTTTGTTTGAATTCCTCTAAAAACATTGAACTGACAATACCTTCAAGAAATCAAAATTTTGAAAGAATGTCTCCTAAGATAACCCGCCCAATCTGCTTCACTGTGCACTTGGACCACTTACCCTCATCATGTACTCCAGCGGGTCGGCCTTGTTCCCGAGCATGGTGAACATCGAGTCCGGTGCGTCCTCGAACTGCACGGCGTGGGTCGTCAGAAACCGGAAACCATACGAGGTGAACGCCCAGGCGAACTTGGCCGGAACCTGATCGCAGTTGTTGCAGACCTGTTTCGCCTTGGCCAGATAGTACCGGCAGAAGTACTGCATGAAGCGTGGGTAGCTCTTCTTGACCCGCAGGGCCGCCGTGATGTAGATTTCGATCGTGTCCTCCGGAGACATGACGGCCGAGGCAGCCTCTGCCATGTTGACGGCGTACAGCGACATCATGAGACCATTGACTTCCGGTTGGTTCGAGACCAAATAGAGTTGGTTCAAGCGATGAAAGAGTAGGGCCAGTTCCTTGGCCGAGTTCAGAGCATCCGCGCGTTGGGATTCGGGCTTCAAGAGGCCACCGGTGCGACGGGAAAGCCACCGCCCAATGTAGATCCGGTGCAGGAACATGCGGATAAATTGCCAACAGGTGGTGATGATTGTTTCCAGGCGACTGTTGGGAATCGTGACTCCAAACGAAGCCAAGCATCTTTTTGATTCCTGTAGGGATGCCGCCGTATTGCCACGTTGAAAGTCCAAATCCGATTGCTTCTTGTGCTTCCAGTATTCCGTGGATGCTTTCGAGCGTGACGGTAGTATCGGATCACCGTAGACCAGCATCTTTATCAAGCCGAAAGCCAGCAGTGCAAAGTTTATCAAGAAAATCATGGCCGAAGAGGAAAAGCTGGACCAGGAGAAAAAGGGTTCGTCCACGGCTAGTATTCGCCGGCTGGTTCCGGGATCTAGTTCTTCATCACCACCAGCGCCAGAAGAGAGGAAATTCCCAAATGGATTGACAACCAGCACGGCCAGCATGAACATACAGAGGGTGAGCCGCGAGTGGGCGGACATTCCCCGGACGCTGGACATGAGATCGTCTTCGTTGAGCGATTCCTCCATGCCACCGGAAGAAGACGTCCCGAAGGGAGACGGTGGCATTGAATTGTCCGAATTGTGCGACGGTGAAAGCGATGGATTGGATTCGTCGCTCCTCGGAGGTGTGATCGGGCCGCTGACGGGGACCATGTCGTCGTGTACGTTGGCCACCAGGAGATCCTTGAGCGAATGCTTCCGGTTGGTCATCTTCATCTTGAGGTACATATTTTCCTGCTTCAGACTGTTGTTTTGTTTCTGCAGGTGCCGGATGTGGTCGATGGCCTTCCGTAGAATGGCGGATTTGTTCAGTTTGGCGTCAAGTCCAACAACCATGTTTTTAAGCTCCACTATGCAACTGTTGATCGAGGTCCGATAGCGACGCTCGATGGCATTGTGGGCAGAACGTTTGACTTCCTTGACCTTGGGCACCGGTGCCGGCTGACTTGTGTGCGATTGCTGGAGTCGATTGATCTGCATCTTGCCTGCATTCTCCGGGGCATCTAAGACCAGTGGTATTCCCGTCGTCAGAATTGGGCCGTTGGGGGTGTTCACCAAAGTGTGAATGTTTTGCGTGTTGGTTGTCATTACGGTGGTTGGGTTAGCTTGCAGGAGCACCTGCTTGTCCCCACTTTGGAAGGTGAAGACCTGTTGCATCACTGGAACGGCTGTGGCCGTAGTCACCGGGGTTGGAGCCACGGTGGCTTTCGTAGTTATAAGATTCTGCACTCGGACGTTGGCCGGTAGAATGTTCTGAGGAATGCTCGTGGCCACCGTCGTCGCCGGAGCAATCGTCTTGATGTAGGAATATCCCGCTGGGGTACGGGTATTCTGCACAAGGATGGTAGAAGTATTGGCCGCTATGTTGGTCCGATTTTGAGTGAGGATAATTGGAGCAGAGCTCGTATTAATCGATTGCTGGTGGATCAGCACCGGTTCCTGCTTTATCGTGGTAGCGGTAATAGCCGGCGGTTGACTTTGTTGTGGTTTCGGCGTCTGAGTGCTACTCACGGAGATCATCGGATCTCTCGAAACCAGATTGCAATAGAATTGCTGCAGCTGTTGGTGACTCTGCAGAGTGGGACTCGCAGTATTTTGCAACAGGGCCGAATCTTCCTTCTTTATATCAAGCGAAGAGTTTCCCGAATCGTTCAACGAATTCAACAACGGTGACGTCGTAGAATCTGGAGAAACTTGATCCATCACATTGTCCTCCCAGCTATACTGGCTGAGAAAATCCTCACCCATGATGTTCATGAGCTTCTCCTCGTTCAGTTGATCTGTAAAACGGAACAGTCCAGATAAATTCTCCAATTACACCCTATTACCACCCCCGAAAACTTACACATATCGGCAATATCGTTAATGTCCAGCTCGTCTCCTTTGAGGACACTGTCTGCAATGTCCATCGCCATTGCACCGCCAGGCTGGAAGCTACCCCAGCCTCCTCGGCCGTCCATTTCGTCAAACTTTCACCTCCCACTTAACAATACCGATTCAAGCTATCTGTTGCCCGCAAATTTCCTCCAAATCAATCCGATTTAGTCCTTAAAAATTCAAAATTTCCTCGCGAAAGCCAATCAAAACTTGCAACTTTTAAACAGCACCGTCGAAAAATGAACGAAGGAACGAGACCACTAATGTGATTCACAGTGCGCCAGAGTGGGACGGCCTGATACACCACACCATCAGCTCACCACCGGTTTGCACCAATCAGCGCACAGCAACGAGTATCGTATGATTTTTCAGCACCAAACCGTGACGTCACTTGCGACAACAGAGCAGCCTCACATAACCTCTTTCTACACTCTATCGCAGAGGAAATTGCATCATTCACACAAGAATCAGGAAAATCGTTCGCCGTTTTCGAATAGCTGCATTAATTGAATTCCACAATCATCACTACCGCTACTGACAATCATTATTGTGATTCTTCCAACGATCAAAACAAGTTGAAGGTCATTAATCTGAGTCACTAGTTTGTTTTTGCGTTTTCCAACAGAACGGTCAATGGAAATCTTGCAACTATTTACGACGCTGTCAAAACAAAAACTGAACGGAACAACGAGAACGAGAGCTGAGCGAGCGAACGATGATGACGATGATGACGCATTCAACCCGAAGTTTAAAAACTGCAACAGAAAGTGCGTTGCTAAAAACACACAACAAAAACAAACCGAGGAAACGTCTGATATTGACGAGTGCACGGATGGATTTGAGTTCACTCACTCGACAAAAAGTGACACAACAGCGGGGCCCTGTTTACTAAAAATGAACACATATGTTCATTTTTAGTAAACAGGGCCCCGCTGTTGTGTCACTTTTTGTCGAGTGAGTGAACTCAAATCCATCCGTGCACTCGTCAATGGAGAAATTTTGGGAAAATAGGTGGGAATTGAAGTGTGCACGGATCAGAGTAACTCAGATTAATATCGACAGTGAGCATGCATAAGGGCGAATACGCGATGATCGATTCTCTTCATCGATTTAATATAAATTATTGAGTTGAATTTGACTCAAAATAACATAAAGCCATTCAAATATTACATAACACAAAAGGAGGTGCGGGGTTGCAGAAATTTGTGGTGCATTTATTATTTCCGCCAAAGTTGGACCCCGGAAAACCTCACTCGCGACATTCAATTTTACCAGACCCCCTTCAATCTTTGGAACTTATAGAGACAGATAATAGCGCCAAACGGTTTGTGACGAGACAAAGTTGAACTGCTGTGTTGGAAGAAATCACGCACACCAAAATCTATACGAACCCACACAACTGAGTGGACGATACACCGCAAATCAAAACACGAAGCGGTGTCATCTCTCATCGTCATCATTCAGCTTCAGCTACTCCCGTTTGCGTTTGTTTTCAGCGGCGTTGTCAAATACTTCATACGTTAAAAAATAGGAAAGTAATGTTTATTCCAACGTAATTTTTTAATGGAATGCGTGCTGCGTTGGCCAAAGAAGACGGCACATTTCATTACGTTTAGCAATGATTTAGATACGGTGCATTGCCAGTGGCAGGTGAATAATTCTTTAGAGAGAGAGAGAAGAGGTTTTTCCCATGTTTACTTCTATGCTTATTAAGATTATGTTGAAAAACAGCTCCACAAATCATCAATTACTATTAGAGATTTGTGTTTCAGTTGCGTATAAAGTGGTAATGATTGAAAATCGAAGCAATCATAAACAAGTAAGAATCTTGCTATCGCAATATAATGATGATGACTTCGAGGATGATATCGTCCTCTTCCCTTGGCTGATCATCAACGTCCGCGTTGACATCTGTCATGCTACGACACCTGTCAGTTATTGAGCCCTGGTGGTAAAGTTGGCGGGGAACTCCCAACAGTTTCAATATGCACTCAACAGATAGCACTGCGAGATGAATTGATTAGTGGGATATCTTGTTAATTAGATATCTTTGATTTTACTCTCATCGGACTTCGCGTCGGACATACACAGAAAAAAAAGTTGTTGAATATTACATCCAAACTGCTGCAACCAGGTCAATCCATCGGTTGTGTACACTCAAAGATAAATTAAATCAAGAAAGCTTAAAAAGTGTGCAGTTTCCCGCTTCACCTTATTGAGTCCGAGCCATGATTACTTCGGCAGTAGTCATGCATGATTAAAATCGAAATAATTTTTCCATTATTAAATTTTATTCTTTTTCAATACTGATATATAATCAAAAAAGATTAAAATTCAATCAAAAATTATTAAAATAGAATCAAAAATGATTAAAATTTATTCAAAAAATGATTATCTACCATCTAATCAACCATGATTAAACTGGGATTTATATCAGATGCTTATTTTTTAGATAGAGAGGATTAATTTTTAATCATTAGATATGATTAAACCTCGGATTAAACTGAGCTTACTGCCAAATTGATTAAATTTCAAGCAAAATGGGAATAGTTCAATTTATCAGTGTAATATAACGTTGTACGATGTACATCGATTTTGCGAACAAAATTACATCCATTGATGTAAAATTGTATCTGCTTTTTGCTGTTACATCATTATTTCATACATCAGCTTGAATTACATTGATCGATATTATATTTTTTTTTGCTATGTAGTGCGCATTATAGCGCACTATGCCCGACACTGTGGCCCTTTTTTTTAACTCTTTATTTGTTCCAAATTCAAAATAAATTACATTTAATTTTAACCTAGGTGCTCCAGTTACTGCAGTAACGTACCAGCCTTAATTGTTATGATATATATCTATGTGTTTTTACATTGTTCATGTCTTGGCAATTCAGTATTTTAAACAGGTTTTTTAACCTGCATGTCAGTATAACAATTGATATCTTAAAACTTAAAACTAAAACTAAATCTTATCTAAGTATAAAGGGAATTAATCGTTGCAATTGAGGATTGCAACGATTTTTGCCTGAAATTATTAATTATTTTGTTGGACATTTGTTCTAAAGTCTCAACATTCGAAATTCTATGTACTTCGGTAGTACTGTACCAGGGAGGCAACTTCAAAATCATTTTCAGAACTTTGTTCTGAATCCTTTGAAGTGCTTTTTTCCTGGAAGTGCAACAACAAGACCATATTGGCACAGCGTAAAGCATGGCCGGTCTAAAAACTTGTTTAAATATTAGAAGTTTATTCGTCAGGCAAAGTTTGGATTTCCTGTTTATAAGAGGATACAAATATTTTATATATTTGTTACATTTGGCTTGAATGCCCACAATGTGATCTTTAAAAGTTAATTTTTGGTCAAGTATTAATCCAAGATATTTCACTTGGTTTGACCAGGAAATTGGAACTCCGTTCATAGTGACTATGTGACTACTACTAGGTTTCAAAAACGAAGCTCTAGGCTTATGTGGAAATATTATAAGTTGAGTTTTGGAAGCGTTGGGAGAAATCTTCCATTTTTGTAAATAAGAAGAGAAAATATCTAAACTTTTCTGCAGTCTGCTGCAAATAACACGAAGACTTCTTCCTTTAGCGGAAATGCCTGTGTCATCAGCGAACAAAGATTTGTGGCAACCCTGAGGCAAATCAGGGAGGTCCGAAGTGAAAATGTTATACAATATAGGCCCAAGAATGCTACCCTGAGGAACTCCTGCTCTAACAGGTAGTCGATTAGATTTGGAATTTTGATAATTTACCTGCAGAGTTCTGTCAGTTAAATAATTCTGAACTAATTTCATAATATAAAGTGGAAAATTAAACTTTTTCAATTTAGCAATCAAACCTTCATGCCAAACACTGTCGAATGCTTTTTCTATGTCTACACACAAAAAATTGTCATTAATAAAATTAAAAAAACCATTGGTAGAATTAAAAGTTTGCATTGGTTCTTTTTGGTAGAAAGTCATTAGCATTCAAAACAAAAGTCAGACAACTTTCTAATCAAAAGTTGCCTGGTCACTGTTTTTAAAAGTTGAAACTTTCAAAATAAATTGTTCTGCTGTCAAAAGAAAAGCTCGACTGGGTTGAAATTAAAAATGGATTTTTTAAATTAAAATCATGCTTTTGGGCTTGAAAGTTTGGTATGAATGAAATAAGAGGGGTCATTTTGAGTTTGAAATAATAAAAATTCAGTTAAAAATAAGCAATTTTAATATTATGACACATAATTTTCATTTTAAATTCTATAAAATATTAGTATCAGTTTTTTTTATTCCTAATGTTTTTATTATAATTTAATTAATAAGGTTTTGTATACTACAATATTTCTCGCAGGTTTTATAGACTCCGATATTCCTTCGATGTACCGTTTCATGTTTTCCAAGCTGAGCACCGGATACTTCTGATAACATTCCTTTGTGAGTTCTTGCAATTTTCGCTCAGGAGGATACATCGGATCGGCTAGAGGAATGCTTTCCCGGTAAAACCACCGTCAATGGCATCCGTAGTGGCTTCTGTGGTGTCAACACCGAAGATGGTGCAAAGTGCTTCGTACTTTCCAGAAACGAGTCAATATCTGCAACAAGATAAGACTATAGTCGCTATATTCATAGTCTGGCGGATAGAATCTCGGGAACCAATGGAGCCGTCAAATAGCGGAAACAATCGAGCAAATCATGACCAACAACAGAAAAGAGCACATCAGCTATTGCGAACAAAATTTCGGAAACCCTTTTCTCGTGACTCAAGGCTTGCCTACGCAAACTAACACCATCTTTGGGTTGAGGAAAGTTTCCCCTATCCGATGATGCCGGTAATTTGTGTTCGATTGGCGAGGAAAGAATAATCAACGTGTTGTTTATAAAAGTTGATAGTGCCTTTTCAATTGTTGGTCTACAATATATTGAATTGGTTCCGCTTTTTGATGGATCGAAATTCTATCCGCCTGACTATGAATATAGCGACTATAGATAAGACCACCTATAAATAATTCACCTATAAAACCTAACCCCAAAGTAACTTACCTAGTATTCAACTCCAGTTACACATTCCGAATGGCCAAACCTGATTCCAGCACTTCCATATGCTCGCACTGCACTCCACTGAACATGCGAATACATATGTATTTTAATATTTTAAACCGAGTTTTAAACTACATTTAAGTAAATCAAACTGGTAGATTTTTTTGACCCGGGATTTTTGTTTTTTTTTCACTTGTGATGGCTGTGGTGCACGAAAAAACGAAATAACCCAACATGTAGTCCATGGTATTTTTGACAGTTCAACAATTTTCATTTTGAAAATATGCCTTTTTAAAATGACAAGTATAAAGTGAAAGACAAACTTTTAAAATAACAATATTGCTTTCATGTTAAATATTGTCGTAGTTGAAACTACCAAAGTTGGGAGACTTTTAATTTGAAAATGCATTATTTTTGAAGGAACAATTTTTATTTTGTGTGTGTAGAAGAGCAACTCCAGTTGAGTGGCCTTCAGATTTGTTTGAACGAATTAAATTGGTAACTCTTAAGAGTTGATGAGTAGTTGAATGCCCATGGCGAAATCCAAACTGCCATCTGCAAAAATTGAGTTCGTATTGATGTGAAGCATCATTCTA